AAATCGTTTGAGCTCAATATATTTAGATATAATTATTAGCAGTATCATTAGAATTGGTATTTTTCAAATCAATATTTATGTCGCCAACATAGATTTCAAGACACTCTTTCTGCAAAGTATCGAAGTAAGCCTGTAAGTCGTCAATATACAGTGAGCAGCATAAGTCTTACCCCCCCCCCCCTATCTAACTCGTTACTGGAGTCTTGTTAGGAAAATCTCCGAGACAGGTCGATTTTTGATTTCTACAATGTACATTTTTGTATGAATAGTTTACCCTTAATTTCATCCTTTACTGGAGGGGAGCAACCCTTTCGAAAAATTTAAATGGCATGGGGTGGTGAGTGATAGCTAATTTGAAAGAAGGTTTTATTCTCTATTCATCCGTGTAAAAAAATTTGAAATTTGCTTCATTAATTATCGACTAATTGTTGTTTCAGAATAACGGAAATTAACGTAGCGCACTCATCCTTAGAATTAAAATTCGGCCCTGCATGACTTCGGTTTTGTTTCAGACGTGAAGTAAGACTTTTTGCCATTGTCACTGTTAGTCTAGTTGCTTTCCTATTTTGTGAGGTTTTGTTATTTTTAAACATTAATAAATCAACATGTAATGATGCAAATTTTTAAAATTTTTTTGCACGGTTGAATAGAGAATAAAACCCCCCTTTCAAATGAGCTATCAGTCACCACCCCATGCTATTTAAATTTTTCGAAAGGGTTTTTACCCTCCAGTAAGGGATGAAATTAAGGGGTTAACTAATCATGCAAAAATGTACACTGTAGAAATTAAAAATCGACCTGTCTCGGCGATTTTCCTAACAAGGCCCCAGTAACGAGTTAGTTAGGACTTAAGATGCTCCACTGTATACTTTTTTTTTCTATAGAAGGAGGACGGTAGGATGCGGTTATACCTATTTTTTGTTATGTAATATTTTTTTTTTTTGAGAAAAACTATTCGAAGAAATTTATTTCTTTAATTTTCTTTAAATTGCATGTTTGCCGAAATGTCATTTCTTGTGTATATTATAACTCCATCGCACTTTTTATTAAAAGTCTCACTATAATGTAATTTATAATTATGTATTGAAAAATCTTTAATATTTTTCAAGTTTCAGATAGTATTATTATTTCCAAGCACACTTTTGCTATATCTATATAGGCCAGCATTTCATCAAAATGTTTTTGTAAGCTACGAATATTAAAATGTACAATACCAATGCCATCCCACACGGAAAAAAATGGGACTAGAAAATTTTACTACAATGTTGTAGTAGTAGATTTGTAGAAAAATACTTAACAATTTGTAGAAAATTTTACTACAATTTAAAGTTAAAAACTATTAATTATTGTAGCAATTGAATTGTCGAATAAAATGCTACAACAATAGGAAAGAAGTCCACAATGTTTTAGTATATTTTTACTATTGTTTGTAGAAGTAGAATTTTATTACAATTATCGTAATTACTACTACTAACTTCTGTAAAAATTTGTACAAATATTAATAATTATCTCTACAAAAAATAGTAATTTTCTCTACAAAAAATAGTAATACTTTACATCCCTTCTTCAAAAACATTCTATAATATTGTAGAATTTCTAAGTCATGTGAACAAAACAGAATTCTGCTATTGGCCAACGTTTTCTGACGTCGATCATAAACGGCCAGACAGCAGTAGCCGTTCGCCATGTTCACATAACATAGCATGGTACATATACGAGTACCTATAACACATTATTATATTATAAGCACCGATGCGTTTGAAAAATTTTTAATAATAAATTCTATTGGTGGTAAGTACATTTATTATTGTTTTTGAATAATTTACCTTTAGATAACTAAGTTAAAAAACCTTAGTAGATTATTTTAAAAAAATAGTTGTGGCCAACGATCGAATGTTGTGCCCAACGATCGAATTTTGTGCCAAGTTCAATGATGTTTTTTTTGTCTTAATTGTGACATACCTACTTTCTCATTTTTGTTAGTTATCTGACTTAGTCATTTAATATCCAAATCAATGTAAAGGTGATAAATATCCCCGTTTTAAGGGTATGAACAATTCAATTGGTATTAATTTTTATTTCATATTTTTCAGGTGCAGAAAAGCCAACTGAGACTGAGGGCGCTATTATTACTGTTATTTATTACATAATGTAATTAAGAATTTGTATCTTTTATATTAAAACAATAAATTGAATATTTTATTAAGGAATATTTTTCTCTAGGTTATAATTATAATAATTATGGAATACTACTACAAATTTTATTAAAAATTACTACAATTTGTATGAATTTTTACTATTTATTGTGTAAAATGTTCGTATTTATTTTCATAAAACGCAATACA